TGGAGGAAGACAGAAGTAAGGTGGTAGTAATGCAGGGCAATGTGATGGCTGTGGGAGGCAGTGATATCACCATCGTGTGCTGTGGAACTCAGGGTGGATGTGGGGTTTGAATGGCTCAATATCTGGTTCAGGGTGCAGCCCCTTTATAACAGATACACAGCACCATGTGAGTGACCAGGGGCTAGGCTATGTGTAACCAACAGGAGTGGTCATTACAGCTGGGCAAACCTAGCCCCAGGAGAGGGGTGTCCAGAGAGAGAGACAACGGAGGAGAAAGAGGGGCAGGGACAGCAACAGCGCAGGCGGGGGAGAGCGTAAGAAACTGTGTGTGAGGGAGAGCAGAAAGTTTATACACGTGTGGTGGAGAGCAGAGCAAGCAGGACAGCGAGCGGGAAGAGACAACGAGAGGAGAGAGGAAAAGAGAGTGAGGGAGAGAGAACATGGGGAAGAGCATGCAAGTGGAAGAAAGCAAAAGAAAAAGAGGGTTTGGTTAGAAAGAAAGAGATAGATACCAACCACAATCAGCAAGCCTCATCCTCAGCCACCCTCCGCATTGTGCAAACTGTTCCTGCTCACCTTAATGATCTCTACCAGCTGGTCCACTCCACTATCGCCAGGGAAAATGGGCTGTCCAAGAAGGAGCTCTGCAAGCACACAACCAGCTGACCAGATATCTGCAAGAGACAGGAAACAAAACCCAGCTGGTCAAGGTATGACATGTGAAAACTAGGCACATCTGTCGACACACCAAACATTTCAAAGCTACAGCCAAGGATTGAGAGAGTTAACCCGCTCTACGCTTTTAAACAGAAACTAAAGCTGCCTCTACACTGCCCCCCATCAAACACTCCCAGCACAGGGACAGCACGGGGTTAGATACAGAGTGAAGCTCCCTCTACACTGTCTCCATCCAACACTCCCAGGACAGGGCTTAGATACAGAGTAAACCTCTCTCTACACTGTCTGCACCAAACACTCCCAGGGCAGAGACAGCACAGAATATAGTCCCTAGCTGTAGGGAAAGCAGTCGGTGATAAAACAGTAAAGTACATCCACCCCTGCTTGTAAAAACTCATGTATAAACATGTAAGGGGAAAGTGTAATGGACACTCTACAAATGACTGGGTCACCTGGAAGGGCTAAGGGATAGAATACAAACGGGCAGGGACTGTTGTAGAGTTTGAAACAGTTGTGTCCGTAGGGAAGAGTGTATAAACTAGCATAAGACCATGAGGTAGGAGCAGAAGTAGGCCATTCAGCCCATTCAATGAGATTGTGCCTGATGTGATCATCCTCAGCTCCACTTTCTTGCTTTTTCCCATAACCCTCAATTCTTTTAATTAAAAATCTGTCTGTCTAAACATACTTCATGACCCAGCCTCAACAGTCCTCTACAATGAGGAATTCCACAGATTCACTACCCTCCGTGAGAAGAAATTGCTCCTCATCTCTGTCTTAAGTGGGTGAGCCCCTGACTGAGATTCCACCCTCTGGCCCTAGACTCTCCCACAAGGGGAAACAACCTCTCCACATCTCTCCTGTCAAGTCTCACAAGAGTCTTGTATATTTCAATAAGGTCACTTCTCATTCTCCTAAACTCTAACAAATCCAGGCACAATCAAATCAATATCTCCTTGTAAAACAGTCCCTCCACACCCAGTCCCAACCTAGCGAACATTCTCAGGACTGCTTCCAATCCTTCCTTAGATACTGGCACCAATATCCTTCATAATATTCCAGATGTGATCTCATTAGTGCCTTATACAGTTTTAGCAAGATCTCTGAAGACAGTGCGCACATCAGTGAGCAATATTGGGTTGAAGGAACAAAGAGGAATGACTGTTCCTTAGCCTTCCACAATATGCAGTGTGTAAATCACTGGGTCATGTCAAAGAGCAAGGGGCAGTGTGTAAGTCACAGCATATTGTGGAGGGGGAGGCAACGGCCTAGTGGTATTATCGTTGGACGGTTAATCCAGCAACTCAGATAATGTTCTGGGGACCCAGGTTCAAATCCCGTCACAGCTGATGGTGGAATTTAAATTCAATAAATATCTGGAATTAAGAATCTAATGATGACTGCGACTACATTGTGGGAAAAACCCATCTGGTTCACTAATGTCCCTTAGGGAAGGAAACTGCCATCCTTACTGGTCTGGCCTACATGTGACTCCAGACCCACAGCAATGTAGCTGACTCTGAACTGCCCTCTGGGCAATTAGGGATGGGCAATAAATGCTGCCCTAGCCAGCAACACCGTCATGCCACAAATGTTTAAAAAAAAGACAGAGTCAATCACTGGTGATTTGAAAGGTTAAGGGACAGAGTTTAATCACAGCATAACGGGGAGGGACAACAAGGTGCAGGGCTGGATGAACACAGCAGGCCAAGCAGCATCATAGGAGCAGAGAGGCTGACGTTTTGGGCCTAGACCCTTCATCAGAAAATGGGGAGGGGTTGAGTCAGCATGTAAGTCACTTGCTAATGTTGGGGGAGTAAGGGACAGTGTGTAAATCACAGCTTAGCGCAGAGAGATAAGGGACAGTGTGTACATCACTGGGTGATGTCGAAAAGCAAGATAGTGTGCAAATCATTTCATTGATTGAGGGGTAAGGGACGGTATGTAAAACTCTGGGTAACATGGAGTGATAAGGGACAACATGCAAATGACTGGTTAGAGTAGAAGGGGTAAGGGACAATATATAAATCAGTGTGTAAATCACACTCTCTTCCTTTTCATATTACCCAATGATAGTTACATACTATCCCCTCCTTTCCACATTACCCAATGATTTACACCCTGTCCCTCTCTTCATCTGTTTATTCTCCTGCATTTTTGCTTGTGGACTCATATGGGAAAAGAATGGTTTTAAAAACAAAGGAGAGTTGAAGAATTGCTGGATTTTCTAAAAGGAACTCCCTGGCCTTCACTGTAAGTGCTGTTTACACTGCTGCGGCGGGGGGAGGTGGGGTGAAGCTAGGTGTAGATTGGCCGCAGCAAGGGGGCTGTGCGTGTGTAAACAGTAATCTGACCAGCAACAGGAGCTGATTGGTCTGTGAAACAGTGACCCAGTCATATATCACTGGCCAAAGCCTGAAAAAAAACATGCTGGAGATCACAGTGGATCAGACAGCATCCATGGAGAGAGAGCAAGCTTACGTTTAGAGTCTAGATGACTCTTCATCAGAGCAAGGCCAAGGCCCACATGCCTGCCAACAAAACTCCGACCGGGGGTCCCCAGGTAGCTGCACAGCTTGGGAATGCAAATGTTTAGGGACTGAAGCAATTGGATCTCTGGAAGGGAAGGCAATTTTGTTTTGCAGTACACCAAGAGGGTATCAAGCCTGAAGACAGCCAGTTTATGCCCCCTCATCAGTTGCTGTGACTGAACATATAATACAGAGATCTTCATAGGAAAGTGAATCAGCCACCCTGTGCCTCCTACAAACCAGAGAAAGTAACAGTAGGATGAATGAGAAGCAGCTTTCTGACTGGGACAATGTCAGCAAGTGCTGTGGACAGGGACTGCTGAAATGCATTCTCAGACATTCCCCCAGTCCATAACACCCATTTTATTTGCCTTTCTCTACAAGAGAGGGAGCTTACAATGGGATGAGAGTATTAACAAATAGTGTTATCCATAGATGGCTCATAACCGGTGACCTGTTGCCAGAATCCAGCAATTTGCAATAAAGAGTGATTCTGATTAAGAATGTGCCTGTGCTTTCTGTCAACCTTGATCTAAAAGTCAGATTATTTGGCCGGGGGGGGGGGGGGGGGGGGTGGATTCTGATTCTGAGTACTTCTATAAAAGCATTCACTTTTGTGATGGTTTTGGAAATAGCTGAAGGATTCTCTGTACCTTGTTCACAGCTCCGGGCAGTTCAGCTACCTGAGAACCAATCACCTAACTGCTGGCAGGTAGAAGACCTTTCTCATTGGTAATTGGTCACTAGTTCATAAAGCAATGAGTTTCTTGCTGCCAGCCAAAGGTCCAACAGTACACAGCCCCTCAGCTTCAGTTTGTCTGCAAACTACACCAGCTCCTGCAAGCTGTGTAGAACAGTGCTCACAATGAGGGTCAAGTTACTTGCTTGAAAACCACGCAGCAATCCTCGGTGATGAAACAATTCTGATTTCAGTCCATCATTTGAAAACGAAACATGAACCGTATCCAGGCTGCTGTGGGAGATGACTGAGAAAATAACAGGGAGCCTCAGTGAAACTTTTTATGGTCTCAAGCTGCAGGAGAGGTGCCAGACAATGGGAGGACAACTAATGTGGTTCCACTTTACAAGAAGGGTAATGGAGATAGACCAGGGAACTATAGATCAGTGGATTTTATTAATGGTAGGAAAACTATTGGAAGAAACATTGAGGAAGAGAATTAATCTCCATTTACACGGGGCAAGGTTTGTACCAGCCTCCACCACTTCCTCTGGCGGCTCATTCCATACACGCACCACTCTCGGTGAAAAAGTTGCCCCTTAGGTCCATTTTAAATAGTTGACACGGCTTCATCAGACTGAGATCATGCCAAACAAATCTGATGAAATTTTGCGAGGAGGTTACCAAGCGCGTAGATGAGGGTAGGGCAATTGATGCAGTTTATATGGACTTCAGCAAGGCCTTTGACAAGGTTCCACATGGTCAAGAGGGCACAACTACACTTCTACTGCCTTAGGAGGCTAAGGAAATTCAGTACATCCATAAAGACTCCTACCAATTTTTAATAGATACACCAGAGAAAGCATTCTATCTGGATGCATTAAGGCCCGGTACAGCAACTGCTCTGCCCAGGACCATAGAGGGTTGTGAACACAACACAGTCCAGTCCAGGCCAGGCCATCACGCAAACCAGCCTTCCAATATCCTTCTCGATGCCTCGGGAAGGCAGCCAACATAATCAGAGATCCCTCCCACCTCGGTTAGAATCTCTTCCAACCTCTCCTGGCGGGCAGAAGATACAAAACTGTTAATAAACTTCTGAATGGACCCCTCTAATTTTAAATCTAATGTTGATCTCGCTCTTTGTGCGCCTCCCTGCAGCTGTAACATTGTATTCTTCTCTCTGTTCTATTATCCTATGACCTTTTAATGGTATGATCTGCCTGTGCTGCACTTGAAACAAACTTTTCACTGTACCTAGGTACATGGGGACAATAATAAATCAAACATGGGTTCAAAGAAATAAAG